ACTGTGTGGAGCTTCCCTTCAGCCTCAGGTGCTCTCCTTTCCCATGCGGGCCAGAGGCCGCTGCTACTCTGGCACCTGGTTAGCCCATTAGAGGGTGCCATTCCTCAGCAGGGGCTGCAGGGCTTCCCTCCCATGTCCATTCTGCCAGCAAGCTCTTTGACCCCCATCACCATTGGGAGCTGGCAGCACCAGGGTAGAGCATCAGGGGCAGAGGAAGGGTGGACAGACACAGACCACCATTGTCCGGGGCAGGCTAAGGATGGAAGCTCCTCCGTGAGATCACTGCCTGTGTGGCTCCAGCTCCGTCCTGGAGGAAGCAGAGACACAGTGGCTAGGCAAGGTCTTGGGGTTTTACTGGGGAGAAGGAGGTAGGTAAGAAAGGAATGTGTGCATACACGCACATGTGTGTATGTGTGTACACACATGTACATGTGTGCATATGTGCATGTATATGTATGTGCATGTGTGGGTATGTGTGCATGTTTCCGGGGCAGGCTAAGGATGGAAGCTCCTCCGTGAGATCACTGCCTGTGTGGCTCCAGCTCCGTCCTGGAGGAAGCAGAGACACAGTGGCTAGGCAAGGTCTTGGGGTTTTACTGGGGAGAAGGAGGTAGGTAAGAAAGGAATGTGTGCATACACGCACATGTGTGTATGTGTGTACACACATGTACATGTGTGCATATGTGCATGTATATGTATGTGTGGGTATGTGTGCATGTCGGTGTATCTGCATGTGTGTATGTTGTGTGTGCACTACACACACATTTCCACACAGACGCACAGCTGAGCAGCTGCCCTTCCAGCCCTGGGTTGAGGATGACAGAGACCCCATCCTGTGTCTATGGGAACTCAGGAAGACCACACTGGACCAGAACAGCTCTACACTCTTCTGGGCAGCTAGTTTGACCTTTGACCTCCACATGAGGGGAAGACCTTCTGGCATCTGGGGTGACTGTCATCTGGAGAGTTCCTCAGGCTGATTTGGAAGAGATGCTGTCTTTTTTGTCTCAGGAGAGCAAGAGGCCTGCTTGTGGAGGAGGGTTTAGCGTACGTGCGTGTGTGTGTGTGTGTGTGTGTGTGTGTGTGTGTGTGTGTGTGTGACTCTACCTTTCTGTCTTTCTGTCTCTCTGTCTCTCCCCCCACTTTCCAAAGCACCTGCCCTGATGGGCTGCTTATCTTGTCTTCCTAAGGAAGGGTGCAGGGACCAGTGTCTTTTCCCATCTCGGAAGACCAGGCTTGGGCATCATCCCCGTGTCTCCATCACCACCCTAAGCAAACTTACCCCGTTCCCTGCTGACCCCAATGATGATCAGTTTGTGTGGCTGAAACACTGTGGCTCATGCCATGTGACCCAGAGGGTGACATGGTATGTGTGTGTGTGTCTGTGTGTATCTGTGTGTTTGTATGTATATGTGTGTGTGTGTATATATGTAGGTAGGTATTACATAAGTGTTTTCCAGTATCCAGAGCAATCCAATCCATTGTTTAAAGTGTTCCCTGTGTAAACAGTGTTCTAAGGGACCATATCCTCTTGTCACAATCTCTGTGATTATAAAATATCCATTTGTGGTAAGTTTGATTTCTGGGAAGGCCGGCCCTACTAAAGCCAAATGACTGTCTTGGAACATGTGTGTGTTTTCTAGTTCATAATGAGTTTAGAGCTGACAGGGCCTCCTCTGCCTCCCGGCTCTGGGAGAAGGGACAGATGGGCCTTTCATGCCTGCTCAGTGCTGTGTTAAGGTACATGGAAGTTCCTGTCTGTCTGTTCACACCAGAAGTGTCGGTGTCCTAAAGATGGCTTGGCATTTTCATTGTTGTTTCATGTTTTCTAAAATGTATCTGCTTTATGTTGGAAATAAAAGTCTCTATTTTGGTCTATGAGATACTGTGTGAGTTGGGGGTTCTTTTTCTTGGTACAGATCACATAGGGAACACTGTCAAAAATGACAGACAACAGCAGTGGTTACACTCAGAGAATAAGTATCTGTGAGATGCCCAGCCCTAAGTGACACATCTACACCTAAGGCTCACGGAACATAGTGGAACGAGGGGTACAGAGAGCACTAATGCATCCCTCAACTCTCATCAGTGAAGCTCCCTCATGCAACAGAGGGCCAGGAACACAAAAGGCCACGAATAGCCAAAGCGTAGAGAATAAGAGTCTGCAGAGTGTGGGTCCTTGAACCGGATTCCTATATTAAACTCCACCTACCCAGGGCTCAGGACCATTGCGGAAGAGGGGGCAGAAAGACTGTAAGAACCAGGGGAAGAGGTGCATGACCATATGGAAACAGAGTCCTGCAGGCTCCTGCAACCTTGCTCATATGAACCTACAGCAATGGTGGCAGCTTGCACAATGC